TATAAAACATAAACTAACCATAATATTTTGAACAAACTCCACTTGAAAAAGCTCACATTCACAGTTGTGCACTGAATGCCACATATAAACAATATTTATAATGTGTGAGGGTTTATTTTTGATACAGAGCATGCTGAGGTTTACTCATTTAGTAGTATTTTGAAAATCGTATTATCTCTGTTGTTAATTACAAATAGTTGGTTCTAATACTGGTCCCCATACTGTATATGTTTCCCCCCTTTGCTCTTTCAGCACCATGGACAGAGACTTAAAGGTCATCACAAGGAAAGGGACGTTTCTTACAAAGAAGAAGAAGAAGAAGAAGAAAACAAAACTGCAACGAAAAACAAAACCCTGATTCAAGTCAGTCTATTATTAAATTGAACAGACGATCAAAATAAAGTATAGCTATAAAAAATATAAGCATAACACAGCTTAAAGCAATTTCACTTTTTTTTTGCTTCATATCTACAACTCCAACAGATTCCACCACAAACTATGACAACTTTCTATGATAACTCATGGTCTACTCATCTACCACAATATTTATAAATGGAAATGTGTGTAAACAAACAAAGAAATAAATTAAAATCTTTTAAAAAATTCTTTATTCTTAAAATGTTAACTTTTATTCCAGAATTTGCTCAAGATGACTGCATGTTGGAGTAGCTATGTTACTTTCATTCTGAGATATTGCTTTAGAAAACTTTAATTCATTTTCTTTCTTTTTTTTCTGGATTAAAAAAAACCCAAAAAACTTTTCAACGATTACTTCCTCTGGTATCAGATATTGTACTCGAGATGCAACAGTGACACTGTCTACAAGAAGCAACAGAGCAGACTGTACGTCTTTATGAAGCTTAAGTCATTCCGTGTTTGCAGCAAGATGCTCCATATCTTATATAAGTCTGTTGTAGAGAGTGTTGTCTCTTCTGCCATCATCTGCTGGAGCAGCACCAGTGATTTAAGCTAATAATCAAGTCTATTTCAGTTCTGGGGACTCCTCTACCTTTAGAGATGATTGTACAAATTTTTCATACAATGAAGAACATTATAAACAACCCTTAGTACCCTCTTCATCATACTGTCATTCATCAACAGAGTGTCTTCAGATCCACTGTAAGACAAACCGCTACAAGAGCTCGTGCCCACAGCCATCAGCATCTAGAACAACTGTTTAATGAAATCAGGATAATGAGTTGCTTGATTTCAGTTTGAGATTAATAAAGTTTTTTTTTTTTTTTTTTTAATTGAACTGATTTTGCTTTGGGCTTCAAATTAAATACAACAGCGTGACATTTAATCCAATACATTAGCATTTTGAAAAAGAAAAAAAAGTTGTATAGCCCTTCTTTTTTGAGTGACAGTTCTTTTGGCCAACTGGGTCGATGTTTCCATAGTCCAAATATCCACCAAGCGTCATGACGTTCAAATTGACAGACACCAGAACAGACCAATCAACTTTGACGCAGATTGACGCTTCGGACGTTCAGCCAATCACATTCCAGTCTCTACATCCTCTGTTTGACCGGGTGAATTTTAAAATGGCCTCAGAAAGTCCGCGATTAAACAGATTGCTTGCGTGTGTTCGTGAAAAAAAAAAAGTCGAAATAGACCTTGCTCGGCTGTATTTTTCTATCCAAACAATCGCGAAACGTGCGGAAAAGAGAACATGTAGCTGTTACGAAATATGGAGCCAGTCAAGAGAAGGAATGTCTAAAAGAAACGGAACGTCCAGATGACTTGATTGAACTGTTGGATTATTACCTGGATTATTGAGCATGCACTTTGGTCTAAACAAAAGATTTATGACGCATCGGTTGCCTCAGTGGAACAGTATTTTCTTCTGGAAGGACATATTGTTCAAAAGTAAGTGGATTTTTTTATTTATTTTTGTTTGTTTGTTTTGTTTCAGCTGCTGTTAGTTTAGGCCCTATGTTGTTTAGATATAGTGCCTTTGAAACAAGTGAGGAAACAAATGGGTGATTGTAGTTTTTCAGCTGTGTGTGTGCGCGTGCGTGCGCACAGGGTGGTGGAGGCGCTTGCACGACCTACTGTATTTCAAGCATGATGACAGCAACTGTGGCTTATCCCCTCTCATCAGAGCCAGCTGTTTGATGAGGTATTCAGACATCACTGCCTTCTTGTTGGGATCCATTTGGAGATGACTTTGATACATGGATACTTCGGAAAACGCATGTAAATACTCAAAGAACACGACAATCTAGTCTTTTTTGTGATAAAAAAACAAACAAACAAAAAATATATATATTTGAACGGTCATATGATAATTCTTGATTTTATATATTTAATTTTATATTTTCAGTCCATACCTCCACCCCTCCACGTGCAGCAACATCAATAATACTAATTGTAAAAGTAGAAAACTCAGATGAGGACAACAGTTTGATTTATGTGTGTTCCAACTTCAATTTCAATTCAGTTCCAATAATTTTGACTGCTGTGATTAAAAAACAAAACAATGTAAGATGGTTATCTTTAATCTAGTTTACAATTTCCAATCTGCTCCAAAGGGTTAGAGAACAGCATATAGACAGTACCTTGTAAATGTTTTTTGTTGTTTTTTTCTAGACATTTTAGGCATCTTGGGAGATGCAAGTACAAGTTTTACTATGATGCCATAAAAGTCAATAAATACAATTTGTTTTAAGATAAGACTTACACACACACACACACACACACACACACACACACACACACACACACACACACACACACACACACACACACACACACACACACACACACACACACACACACACACACACACAAATCAATAATGGTTTTAAGCAAAACAAGATGACAGAGATGATTAGATGGATGAAAGAGAAATGAAAGTCACTCTTTTCAAGACAGAGTACACGTGACAATGAGAGGGAGGTGTGTGGAACAACAAGGCTACAAGCGGCAGGACTTCTAGTACTTATATGGTCAATAGAGGTGAAGAACAGAGTCCAGGCAGAATTGAGTGTTTGAAAAAAAAAGAAAAAAAAAAACTTTCAGGAGTGAGTTGTGACTAAAGAATGTCAGCAAAGGCCAAATGAAATATGTACAAGACAATAGTGAATCCAGCTATGTTGTACTGTCTGGAGACTACTGATAAAAAGACAGGAAACAGAACTGGAAGTGTCAGAAATGAAGATGTTGAGGTTCTCCTTATGAATGACAAGGATGGATAAGATTAGGAATGAGACAATCAGAGGTACAACACAGGTTGAATAAAGTTAGAGGCCAGACTGAGATGGTTTGGACATGTCCAGAGGGACCTATCATTGGTAGAAGGATGTTAGAAATGCAGCTGCCAGGAGAAAGACAATGAGGAAGGCCAAAGAGGCGATGGATGTAGTTAGAAAGGACATGAAGGTAGTTGGAGTGAGGATGCAGTGGACATATTGAGATGGAGAAAGGTGACTCGCTGTGGTGAGCTCTTAAAACAGAACAGCCAAAAGAAGA